CGACCCCCCACCCCCCCACCCCCCCATAAATTGAAAAACACTTGTTTATATATTTAACACTATTATAAATGCTGGAGGCAAAGCGGGGTTTGTGGTGGAGGCTGACAGGTCGCGACCCCCCACCCCCGCCATGTTATAACCTCGTGACCCCCTGAGGGGTCCCAACCCCCAGCTTCAGAACCCCTGAGTTAGATTGTTTCCTATTCCTGCTTTCATGGGGAACTATATTTTCCAAAATAAAATGTAGTTTTCAACTACAGAGAGAAAATCTGAGTCTTTCATGACTGACATTACACCGTTCCATCATTTGCATTAGATCTACTGCATAAGTGGCTCCGTTCTCAAATAAGTTCCCACGGCAGCTCTGATACTTCTGTATAAAATGAATATTGGTGATTCTACTCACTTGACACAAAAAAACTTGACACCGTTTTGTATTACTGTATGCTATGCCAATTGATTTTTGAATTTTGAACCAGAGTTTTGTAAAAACAGTTAAATAATCAAGGCTTTCGTTATAATAAAACCACTTTACAGCTAAACTGTTGTCACTTACGTTCAAATTGTTTGGATTTTTGTTTTTTTGATGAAAAATTGTCATTTCCTAAAACAATGCAATTCTGCCACATTTGGAAACCATTAGGCTATTTACATCTTTATTACTAAAACCATTGAGATGTACAGTCTACAGAAAAGGTTGTTCAATCAACAAGGAGCAAGTGAAGTGAAAAAGCATTAATGTTACATTTCAGGCAATTATTGCAAAATGATCAAAATTCCTATGCATCTTAAATTTTTTGCAAACACAACAGAATTTATATTACATAGATCCCGGTTTCATTAAGATAATATGATTTGTAATAATATGGGGAAAGTGAAATAGAATCCAGTCTCCTAAGCATTGCTTTCCCTAAAGGCATATCGGTATACAAAATGGGGTTTCCGGCACAGCACTTGTAATCTCAGAAGCCACTGCACCTATTAAACACTTAGTAGGGCTCCAGGAGTAAGACAACACCAGAGACAACACAGTCCCAAGCTAGATAAAAATCTTATCCCTGCTTTCAGGATTTGAACGCTGTTTTAGTTCCATTTAATGTTTTATCTCTCTGGAAATCCAAACAGGCAAGAATGTGTTATCAAACTGATCCTCTAAGGAACAGAACAGTTAGTCTCTGCACTAAGGTTGCTATGCAGGCAGTCTAGAATTTGTGATTGGTCTGTCATACGGAAAACTGATAGCCTGGTGCCACTTATGCTGCTAAATGTCTTGGCTATAAAGTTGTTGCATCCCATACATATTCACAGAGGATGTATCCAAACTGAAAAAGGTGGCTTGATCTGAGAAGCAGAACTTAACTTTAAGGGCACCATCAAATTCACTTGCCAGAAGAGAGGACGGGAGAGTTGTTTGTTTAACAAGAAAACAAAATTAAAAGCTTTAAATCAAGTGGACTGCTGTACATGGAAAAATCTGTTTGGCTGTTAATTGTTGCTTAAATGAGAGATTTGCTCTTATCTAAATGCAGGAAATCTTTGTCATCCTCCCAATGGAATACCAAGTAAAGTACAGATGAAGATTTAAAAACACATCATTTAACCTATCAGTTGCAAAACTTCTGACACAAAACAGAAGTCCTTTTAAAAATGTATCAGATTTTCAATTGCAAAAAATGCAGTGGAACATAAACCTGATGAAAGTTGCGCAAAGCAGACTGCAGAAACAGAAAACCGTGGTGCTAATTTTAAACCTTTTTTTAAACTTGTATTCATATTTGAGGGGCCTTTAAAAAAATCTTCCCATTATAGTCAAATCGTTAATTAAAAAGTATAATAAAACAGGAAATAAATATATGTATATGAGATGATTAGAATGAAAAAACTACATTAGGAGGAAAAACAATAGGAACTGGCAGAGTAATATTCAAAGAGGATACAAAAACTGTGATAGACAGACTCCGCTTTTCTGCCGATTTCTGTGTGTGTGTTTTCCCCTCGGTCATTCATCTTCATTTTGTTTTTCCACCTCTTTCATAAGAGGTCCATCTATCTCACAGCCTGTTGCTAGCTATCAAGCAAGTAGCAATAGGCTACCTGCAAAGGCCTCGATTCAGGAGGGCACTTAAGCACATGTTTATCTTTAAGGATGGCCTTACCTGAATTGAGGCCTGAAGGAATTAATAAGGAGCCTCCAGAATGGAATATTTATGGAGCAGTGGCTGGGAGTGCCATACTGCGCGCACCCACAAGGTATAAGACAACACTGTCCCGTCTTCCTTCCCCAAGGAATTTGCAGACTAAGCACCCGAACCTGCAAGCTCTCCAAGAAGAGCAGCCGTTGACTTCAATGGGAGTCTGATATATGGAGAGCTTTATGGATTAGGCCCTAATTTGGGCCATACCAATATACGTAAACATCTCAGATCACACCTCCAATTGGCAAGGGAGCAGATATCTTAGA